GCAAGGAAGGAGAAGTTGGGAAGGGAAGAAGGGAGAGATGGAAGAAAAGAAAGGAAGGAAGGAGAAAGGAGAAAGTGGGAACAGAAGAAGGGAGAGATGGAGAGATGGCAGAAGGGGAAGGAAGGGAAAGTTGGGAAGAAGGAAGGAAAGAAGGGGGGAGGGAAGAAGGAAGAGATGGCAGAAGGGGAAGGAAGCAAAGGAAGGAAGGGAAGGAGAAGGTGGGAAGGGAGAAATGGAGAGATGGAAGAAGGGAAAGGAAGGAAGGAAGGAAGGAGTAGGCGGGAAGGGAAGAAGGGAGAGATGGGAGAAGGAAGGAAGGAAGAATGGGAAGGGAAGAAAGGAGAGATGGAGCGATAGCAGAAGGGGAAGGAAGGAAGGGTGGATGGATGGCTGAAGGTCAGATCAGTGAATGAAGGTCAAGGCTTATCTGCCTTTATCCCAAGGCCAGGCCTGTACAGTCTTCGTGGTTAGGCCGAAAGGCGTATAATTTCTGACACTTCATCCACCGCAGGTAGCTGCTCGCTTTCCTGACTGATGTTCTCTTTCTCCCGACCTTCGTCCTTCTTTTAGTGCCCCAACAGTGGCTGCCTGGGCCTGGCCCGCCTCTTAGTCGACTGCCAATCCTGCCTCGCCTTTGGGGACACCAACAGTTCTCTGCCCCGAGCTTCAGGTCCCTTCGGCTGGTGTGTGCAAAATGAGACTTGCATGCCCACCTCAGGTAACTGGACAGCTCTGCTCGCCACTCTGCAAGCCCCGCTTTTAAGGACGGGGTTTTATGGTAGCCTGTCCGTGCTTTGCTTGTAGGCTCGGAGAACATCAAGATGCAAAGCCAGAATCCTAACGGCATCCTATAAAAGCCGTGTTTCTCAACCTTTAAGAGACGTGGACTCCAACTCCCAGAATCCTCCAGCCAGCCTGCTAGTGAACTTTTAAGACGGATGAACTTCAACTCCCAGAAGTCTCTAGCCAATATGGCTGGCTGGGGAATCCTGGGAGCTGAAGTCTACACGTCTTAAAGTTGCCATGATGAAGAAACGCTCCTATTAAATGCTCAGTGTTGATTACTTATGGCAGGGGGGCCATCAAACTCAGATTTCATTGAGGGCCACATCGGGGCTGTGGATGACCTGGGGAGGGCGTGGCCAGCTGGGTGGGTGTGGCCCGCTTGATGCCACTCCCCAAACTGCTGGCGTGTTTCCTCTTCACGTTGGGTAAACCGGGCCAAAGTCAGGCGAGCTGGCCCTTGACATTTTCCAAATCCAGCCACATCGCGGGCCACATCCGGCTTGCGGGCCTTGTGTTGGTCACCTGGCTTTACAGCATCCAGTGACCTTTCCACTGACCCCCCCCCCCCCACCTTCCCTTCCCTTTATTGTGAAAGTACAATTTTCTCTAGGGAGATCAACCAGAATATTTCCTCTTGCTAAAGGAAAATGTGATTTCCACACATATCAGTGCGGCCTTGAGGTGTTTCCAAACACTTAACCTCCTTGACTTTGTGACCACAAGCTGTGCTCCAAAATTTCCATCGCTAAGCAAGACAGTGGTTAATAGAATAGAATGGAATATACTGTAGAATGGAATGGAATGGAATGGAATGGAATGGAATGGAAAGGAATGGAATATACTGTAGAATGGAATGGAATGGATTGGAATAGAACAGAACAGAATAGGAATATAGAAAATAATAAGAATTAGAATAAGAATAGAATAGAAAAGAATAAGAACAGAATAGAATAGAGTATTGGAATGAAGAATAGAATATAGAATAGAAAATAGAATAGAATATAGAATGGAGTGGAATGGAATAGAAAATAGAATAGAATAGAATAGAATAGAATAGAATAGAATAGAATAGAATAGAATTCTTTTATTGGCCAGGTGTGATTGGGCACACAAGGAAGTTGTCTTGGTGCATATGCTCTCACTGTACATAAAAAGAAAAGATACCTTCATCAAGAATCATGACTTAATAATAGTCTTAGGGTACAATAAGCAATTAAATCATGCTAGGAAACAGTCAATATAAATCGTAAGGATACAAGCGACAAAGTTACAGTCATACAGTCACAAGTGGGAGGGGACAGACGATAAGGATTGATGAGAATGTTAATAATAATAATAATGCAGACTTCATAAATAGTTGGACAGTGTTGAGGGAATTATTTGTTTAGCAGAATGACGGCGTTCGGGGGAAAAAACTGTCCCTATGTCTAGTTGTTCTGGTGTGCAGGGCCCTTTCCCAGGCTCAAAATGTGGCAGAGTGGGAGCAGCTGGTCTCAACACGGCTTCCAAAGCTGACAGCCTCTGTGTTTTCCTAACCGGATTCCTTTTCCTTCCCCAGAACAGGGCAGGTGCCAAGTGGGGAAGATTTCAGGGACGTATGGCTGGTGGGGGCCGCAATCCTTCTTTATCACCTCCTTGGCCCAATGTCAGCGCGAAGATTTCTTGCCCGGCCTTCATCTGATCACCTACCAGCAACCACGCAACGACTCCCAGCCGGACAAGGTAAAGACCTGGACATGACTCCAATGTATTCCTTGGACTGGGGTGATACGTAATATCTGTGTCTTTATTTAATAACCATCGAATAAATTACAGTAAAAAAGAACCCTCCGCCCTCCATCCAGAGCTTCCAAAGTAGACGCTATAAGGCTTTTGGTCAAACCCTTTATTTACAAGTAGGCTCAACTGTGGTCGTAAGTTGAGGATTACCTGTACTCTATTGGGGAGGAGCTGTCTTCGCCCTCTTTCTCTCACACGCACTATCCTCTCCTCACTGAGTTGCCTTTTAACTGAGCCGCGGTGGCTCAGTGGTTAGAGTGCAGTACTGCAGGCTACTTCTGTTGACTGCCGGCTGCCTGCAATTTGGCAGTTCGAATCTCACCAGGTTTAAGGTTGACTCAGCCTTCCAGCCTTCCGAGGTGGGTCAAAGGAGGACTTCAATTGTTGGGGGCAAGAGGCTGACTCTGTAAACCGCTTAGAGAGGGCTGTAAAAGCACTGGGAAGCGGTATATAAGTCTTCTATTGCTTGGGAAGGAAGGAAGCAAGCAAGCAAGCAAGCCATGGTGGCACAGTGGTTAGAATGCAGAATTTCAGACTAACTCTGCCCACTGCCAGGAGTTCGATCCTGACCTGCTCCAGGTTGACTCTGCCTTCCATCCTTCTGAGGTGGGTCAAATGAGGACCCAGATTATTGGGGGCAATAGGTTGACTCTGTAAACCGCTTAGAGAGGGCTGGAAAGCATTGTGAAGCGGTATATAAGTCTATAAGTGCTATGGCAATTGCTTTACCACAGGTCTCCATCGTCCGAAGCACCACGATCACCCTGAATCCCAGCACAGAGATGGATGTCTCCCTGGTCTACAAGGGATTCATTCACCCCCTGGTGAGCAGCTCTGGACCTGCAGAAGACATCTCCATCTGGGCACGCATCCAGCGCCTGTTCGTGGTTGCTAAATTAGCCCGAGCCCCTGGCGCCTTGGAGCTGGTAAGGTCATACCTTCTTGCTTCCATTGTTGGAAGCGAGTTTTTCTCCTTAAACTTGGAAATGTGTAGCAGTGGAATTACGGAAAAGAGTGGCTCTGCGTGCCAACCTCAGTGCCAAAGAGTCAGAATCCGCAGCCGGAGGCCTACTCTGGTTCGGAAGAGAATCAGATCTTTTGTTTGTGATCCTCACGGATCCAGTCAGGTGCCGGCTGAATTAGATTAGATTTACAATCTTTTTTTTATCCTGCCTTTATTACTTTCTAAGTAACTCAAGACGGTGAACATTTGTAATACTGGTTCCTCCTCCTCTTTTTACCTACAACAATCCTGTGAGGTGGGTTGCCTGAGAGAGGGGAAGTGGCCCAAAGTCATCCAGCTGGCTTTCATGTTTAAGTCGGGACTAGAACTCCCAGTCTCCTGCTGATTGGCCCAAAGTCACCCAGCCGGCTTTCATGCCTAAGGCAGGACTAGAACTCCCAGTCTCTTGGGGATTGGCCAAAAGTCACCCAGCTGACTTTCAGGCTAAGGTGGCACTAGAACTCCCAGTCTCCTGGCTTTCATGCCTAAGGCAGGACTAGAACTCACAGTCTCCTGGTGATTGGCCTAGGTCACCCAGCCGGCTTTCATGCCTAAGGCAAGACTAGAATTCCCAGTCTCCTGGTGATTGGCCGAAAGTCACCCAGCTGACTTTCAGGCTAAGGCAGCACTAGAACTTACAGTCTCCTGGTGATTGACTGAAAGACGCCCAGCTGACTTTCAGGCTAAGGCGGCACTAGAACTTACAGTCTCCTGGCTTTCATGCCTAAGGCAGGACTAGAACTCCCAGTC